CAGCAACTCTCAAGGAAACATTTAATTGGGGTTGGCTTACAGATCCAGAGGTTCAGTCCATTACTATCATGGCAGGAAGCATGGCAGCATGCAGGCAGATGTGGTGCTGGAGAGGGAGCTGAGAGTCCCACATCTGGATCTGTGGGCAGCGGAAGAGAGAGAGACACTGGGCCTGGCTTGAGCAGATGAAACCTCGAAGCCCACCCCCAGTGCCACACTCCATCCCAGCAAGACCACACCTCCTGATAGTGCTATTCCCTGTGAGCCTACGGGGGGCCATTTCCTTTCAAGCTACCACACTACCCTTCAGTAGTCTACAGTGAGGGGTGTATAGGCTCTCCCAACTTGGACATCTTGTCCTGAAGTTACCTTGCTGTTCTCATAGCCATGGGTACCACCCCAAAACCCCCATAGTGTGACAGTTACCCGGCCCCCTGTCAAATGGCACTGACAGTCATAAACCCTCCACCCTGCCGGGTTCTGCATAGAGACAGAAGACGCTAAGCATGTTTCCTGGTTTCTGCCTGTCCACGGGCACACATACGGCCATGGTGATGGTTAAAACAGTCCACCCCCTGGCCCCAGGCCTCAGCCCACTCCCCCACAGGGGTAACAGACTTGACCCCCAACAGGACCCAATGATCCTATGTTCCCCCACCTAAGCTGGCCCTACTGGAGCCTGTCACCAAGACTACGAGAGTCCTAGACACACAGAGTTATGCACAATGAGAAAAAAAATCATAAAATCACTACTCAGGATTCAGTATCGCTGAAGAAAACTTGTGTGCAGCCCCAAGAGTCTGTTTAATTTGCCACCAACTTATATCTCTCACACACTTCCTTCCCAGTCAACAGCTGGAAGACACACCAGCTCAGAGGCCCTGGCTGGGTAACGCCTGGTCTCCTGACTTCTTGCCAAGGACCGTTGTGCTGTCACGCTGGCACAGCTGACTCTGTTCCTTCCCACAGATTCCATCGTCATTGCCTTTTGGGTGAGCCTGGTAACTTTCGTGGTGCTTCTCTTCCTCATCCTGGTCTACATGTCCTGGTCAGTCTCCCCACAGATGAGGTAAGTAGGGGTGCATGTCTGCACAAAAGCAGACATTAAACGACAATAGCATAGGGCATCTGCAGCTTGGGACAGCACCCATTCATGCTAACCATACATGCTAACCACTCATGCTAACCATACATGTTAACCACTCATGCTAACCATCCATGCTAATAATCCATGCTAACCACTCATGCTAACTATCCATGATAACCACTCATGATAACCATCCATGCTAACCACTCATGCTAACCATCCATGCTAACCACTCATGTTAACCATCCATGCTACCCATCCATGATACCCACTCATGCTAACCATCCATGCTAAACACTCATGCTAACTACTCATGCTAACCATCCATGCTAACCACTCATGCTAACCATCCATGCTGACCATGGCATCACATGACAGTCTACACATGCAGTAGTGGCTCTAGTCTGAGTACAGCCTGTGATGTTCACTTGTAGTGAGACAGCCCGGTGACCCGCTTCTTGGCAATTAATAGCGCCCGCTGTTCTTCCACAGGACCAAGTGGGGTTCCTAGCACTCACGATGGGCGGTCTCACCACTGCGATACCCAGCTGCAGGGATCCCACACTCTCTTCTGGTCTCTTTGGGTGGCACACATTTTGACACACACACGTGCATGCACTCACACACACAAACACAATTTCCTTTTTTAAAGAACCGCCGAGGCACTGTTTGAGGACCCTCCCCAGTCCCGCAGAGATAAGGGGGGCAGACAGGACAGGAAACAGAGGTATGGCATCTGATGGGCTTCGGCCCCCAGTGGGCCCTGTCCATGTCATTTTGTAGCACTGTAGCCACACGGAGAATGGCTCTCCAGCCTAGCTAGTCCCCAGCCCATGCTCACCCTGATGCTACATATGAGGCAGGGTCACCTCATTTTGTGAATAAAATCCAATGCAGGTGGCAAGCAGTGCCCATGGTCTATGCCAGGCAGCCCTAGGGCCTGGAAACCCACAAGACACAGTGTGGTCACAGAATGCGCTGACTCAGCTGTGTCTGGATAAAAGGCCAGTAGACCCGTGTGTGAGAAGTGATGAATACAGAAGTGAGAATATGCACTGAAGGGAGGGCTCAAGGCCTGGTTCCCAACAAAGCTGTCTTCCCCACGGACACAGGCACACGGAACAGGGGAGCCCTCCAGCTAAGGACTATTCTCTAGCCAGTCCCTTTGATGTTTGCCTCGTTTGCTCTGTCCACAGACACAGTACCCAGCCCCACCAAATATGCCCACAGAACCTCAGGCTCCCCTCCTGCCTCCAGAGGACCTCCAGGCAGACAACGGAGGGACCAGGCAGTAGGACTGGCTCTGACCAATAGTTAGAGCAAGAGAGTCCCTCGCCCTCAACCCCTGCACCTCTGGCTCTCCCCTGGGACCAGGCTTGGGATGGGGGCTCCCAAGGGACCAGCTGACCTCCGGAACCAGCAAGGTGCAGTGGTGAGCCTGGAGACAGAGCTTCTCAACTGTGGAACCGATGCCAGGGAACCAGGCAAAGGGAACCGATGAACTGAAACACTCAAACTAACATGGACAGCCATTTACAATGTAGCAAGAAACTGACCAGGTCGAAACCAAGTCTGGGAGGAGGACCAATAGTCTGGCTAGGATGGAGACGCTGCCCCAGACATAGCTGATTCTGCTGAACATGCTCAATCTGCTTACTGCTTACATTTGCTTTGGGATTCATGGGGAATAAAACAGGAATTGTACCCTTTGCTTTACCTCTGGCATTTCTTCTGCTGGAGCACTCCTGGTACACATGCTCCTGTGAGGGTGCTGGTGAAGTCTGCCCCAGACCTCCTAGGCCAGCTCAGCTGGGTCACACTGTCCCTTCCCCACAGCACCCCGAGAGCTTGACAGAAGCAGGGAGGGCCTGAATCCAGGGGAGCCAACCAGCCTCCAGCACTGTCCCAGAATGCTGAGTTCTCCAAGCTTCTCACTTTAGGCTCTGCTTTACGGGACTGTGGCTCTGAGAGCCCCAAACAACTATGTGTCTAGGAGGGATGGCCCTGGTTAAAGAGAGACAACACAGGGCCCGGAAAACTGGCAGTACACCCATTAGTGCACTCAGGGATTCCTGGGCTTTATTCTTAAATGATGGCTTTAGCTTTCCACACAGAGCTCATGCTGACGCAGCCTCCTGGTACTGACTGGGGTAGGTGACGGCAAAATAACAATGAGCAAACTCCTCTGAAAAATGTGTCACGTGTGTACAGTGTACCTCCTTCTGTGAAACATGTTGTATGTGTGCACGGTCTACCTCCTTCTGCGAAATGTGTCATGTGTGTGCATGGTCTATCTCCTTCTGTGAAATGTGTCATATGTGTGCACGGTCCACCTCTGAACATCACTTCTGGGAACACTGACCATCTCTAGATGCCCTCCTTCTGGTGCAAGTGAGGTGTGCTGTGGCGGCACTGCCTTCGGAACAAAAACCTCCACACGTCAGCACAGAGGCCATCTGTTCAGTATCACAGATATGTGCTGTGGGTCTAGAAGGTGAGTGTATAACTCCATGCCTGGTCCAGAAGACCATGCAGGATCCACTCTCCACAGGGTGAGGGCCAGGCATGGTCTCGCCAGCCTTGGGGATGGGGTCAAGGTAAACAAGAAGATGGAGAGGAGAGAAGGCGAGCTCCTGAGCTCATGCAGCTCTGTAGTCACTGTTGCCACCCAAGGCAGCATCCATGTCCCTTGTCTCTACTATAACCACCACACACAGCCAGGAGGGGGAAGGAAGGGAGCATAACCCACGACCTCTCACCAAACCCCACCCAGGGTCAAGGCAGAGGAGGCTGGTGCTATCAGACTGAATGTGAACAATCAAACCTCACCAAGTCACCGGGACACATGAACATAGGGGACAGTTGAGGACTGGCACTTGTGAGAGCCTGTGGAAACTTGTTGGTGTCCGGTGGTCCACTCCTTTGCTTTCAGTGGTCTGGGCTACAGGGACATGCTCCAGATCCTGTCTTTCTAGCCACTGTCCCTCTATATGACAGTCAGAGGTACTCATTAGTGGGACAGTGCCAACAGACCCAATCTAAAGGCACTTTCCACCTCAGCGTCCTGGGCTCTCCTCTGACTAACAGGACAGCACACGGATGCACGCAAAAGTGCAAACGTTTTAAGTCGAAACCAGCCATTCTCAGTACTACATACAGCACACACAATAAACTAAATCACCAGCTCACAGATGACAGCTCAAACACAAGGGACCAGTGTATAGAGCACCTTTTCTGCAAAATCATGAAATTTCATATACCTCTACCAGAGACAACACCTAATAACAATGAACCATACAAGTTACATTCTGAAATAAAATGCAGGTCTCTGAAATAAGAACACTTTGTAAAATGAAAGCAAAGTACAAAGAGACTCACAAAAATAGCTATTTATTATCAAAACACTGTAAAACTCAAAATCCTCTTTGAAATATAATTTAAAAACATAGAGTCTTCCCAAAGTAGAGGTGAAGGCATTTTGCCTCAGGGGCAAAGTACAACATATTAAATAAAAGAGCAAACTCAGGCAGGAGCTTGCTCATTCCCTCACAGAAAATGCCCGACTTCTCACAGAGACAACTTAAACACTTGGCATGTGCTGCCAAACACTCAATGTTCACATTTCAGCTTGAATCCATGAATCCATCCTGTACTTACGAGCATCACTGAGGGAGTTTGCTCTGCCAGGAGCTCTGGGACAAGAGCAGCTCTCCGAACGAAACCCCCCTCCCCCCCCCCGTGGGCCTCATGGCCCAGCAGTACCCCAGCCATGACAACCATTAGTATAAGGTCAACACCTGCGCCTCCTGTTGGTCAGTGAATAAGTCCTCTTAACCTTTCTTGCTGGCAAACATTTGAATGTATCAGCTCACACCTCCAGGAACCTTAGCATAAGCTTTCTGGAACCCGCTGGAGCGCTGGTCAGCAGGGTGAGTCAAGCATCTGAGCTGATACTCCTGCAGAGCACAACGATGTCCTCCGCCTCATCACGAGGCCCATCCTTTGCAGCCTCACAGACCATTCTGACATGAGCAAGGAAGGTGTCTGGCTGCTGGGCCCCCAGCCAGATGTCCTTAATGTACAGAGACACCAGGAATGCTGTGGAAGCTGGGAAGAGTTAACAAGGCCATTAGGATGTATACTTGCTCAGACAGAAAACAAACCACCACCCACAATGCACCAGGGCTTTTTACAGCTGCCACAGACACTGCCAAAACCCATGGAAGCCCCAGTGAGCATGAGGATAAAACGTGAATCTCCTCCTGTGCTATCCTCTCTGATCATTTTTAAGTTCATTTTCTTCTGATGAGTATACATTGACCTTAAAGAAGAAGTTACTCCATGTCCCATTCTGGACAAGGGCCTTATGCTCAGGCCATCACTGACCTGGCGTTTAGCATCTCAAAGAGCACACTTAGGAAAAGGTGAAGGTTACAGGCTCAAAGGCTCTTCCTGCTGCCATAAGTGAGGATGTGACAGGACCCTTTTGTGCTAAAGTGAGGTCACAGCACAGCCTTCTGGCCTCTCCCTAGCTCCCTAGCTGTTAAAGTGGTCCGTTCTCCCTAATGGAGGAGATACCTGCCACTCCTCAAAGCCACCAAGGCCGGAGCAGGCCACTCATCCTCACTATTGCATCCACGCCTCTGGGCGCCAAGCAGAAACTGCACGTGTGTGTGTGTGTGTGTGTGTGTGCGCACGCATTCACATGGGTACGTGTGTGTGTGTGTGTGTGTGTGTGTGCACGCATTCACATGGGTACATGTGTGTGGTCGTTATGTTCTAAGGGGGTGGGTGCCTGCCATCATAAGCATGATCGTCTCTAAGGAGAAGACTTGCCCTTCTGTTATGTTCACTGTGACTCCAGTCTTGGTGAGGATCCAGCTAAACATCCTGACTCCAGTCTTGGTGAGAATCCAGCTAAACATCCGGGTACCAAGATGAAGACATTCTACCCCCCTCCCACATTTTTCTTTAGTTCTGATCAAAGGGCCGACATTACCTCGCTTGGCTTCATACTTCTCATCCAGGCAATCCAGGAGCAGGGCCTCCACCACTGGGTGGAAAGGACCATCTACTGGGCCCTGGGCCTACAACAACCACAGCATGACAACGCTGAACTTGCAGGCCACGTCCTGTGCTGGCCCTACCAGGCCCTGGGCACCGCAGTGGCGACTATAGAGCCGCAAGATGCCGCTCTTCACAGCACTGTCCTTGAGAAGGTCTGCTACCACCACTGGGTGTGGCAAAATGTGGCTCTTGAGCCAGTCAAGGAGTCTTGTGGCCTCTGCCCTGCTGAGGGGGCTGTCAGCCAACGACCGCAACACCCAGCTGGCCACCAAGGAAACAGCAGCATCCGTAGAGCCCAGTGTCCTACTCCCAGGGGTAGCCTGGCACACAGACTCCTGGGTGGGGCCAGGGGTGGAGACAACGGGACCCCAGTGAGTCAGTGTGGCTCTCAGGAGGTCCTTGCATGTCTCTAAACTACATGCTTCCAGCCCGAGCTCAGCAGCCTCCTCCACCTCTACATGCCTCTTCCTTCGGTCTCGTGGGCCCTTGGCATGGGCGGCTGTCACAGGCTTGTTCTTATCCTTGAGCATTTCTGTTAAAGACAGGGAACAGGTGAGGTTGGGGTTGCCAGGTCCACGCTCTGTGTGTGTGGGTGTGTGCACACGCGCGCGAGTGGTGTTGGATTCCCTCGGAGCTGGAGTTAAGGGTGTTTGGTGAGCTGCCTGCCTGATGAGGGTGTTGGTGTTGCTTTGCTAGTCATGTGATGTCTGCCCTGCCACCTTTGGTTTTCATCTCCACCTGCCGCATACTTGCAGACTTTTAATATTTGTACAATTTAGGGATACTGGATTGATGGGAAATTCCTTATGAATCATTTATGCCTTCTCCAGGAGATTGCTTCTAAGATGCCCTAGGACAGTCCTGAACACACCACGCCCCCTGCTTTAGGGAGATGTCCTTATCTACTCGAAGGTCTTATGCCTTGGAGGCTGTGATACACATAAAGAGGTCTCTTTATAAGGTGATGAGACACTCTTGAAACATGTGTCCCTGTACTTACACAGGAACAAGACATTCAAACAAAGTAAACAAAAATGTCAACAAGATTTATTGGGCTAGAGCAGTTGGCGACAGATCAGATTGCAAACCTCTTCCCACTACACACTCAGGCGATTACGTGGTACGAAAGCAACAAAGTCAGATTAGCCGAGTTACCTCTGCCCTGCACAGAGAGTTTTACTCATGAAAAAGAATGGAGTGGAAAGACGATAAAAGACTAAGTCTGTCAAGATCTCCCTTCTTAGAGAAGCTGCCACACGCAGAGCCACTGTGGTATCATAAGACCAAGAAACAACCATAGAATGCCAGGATTAGACATATAGACTAAATGTATAAAAATATAAATGTAAACACTGTATTATGACAGAATTTCAATAACTGCTGTAGCAATGTTGGCCTGAGGGTATTTCTTAGGCACTCTGACCATCCATTAAGAGTTAATAATACACTGCTTGGAACGTGGCAGTATGCCCAGGATGGCTTGAATTTTGTTTTGGTCTAGTGTCCTTGTACCCACAAAAGCTACAAGCCTGAGAATAAGCTGGCATACGCCTCTGGATTCTTAGAAATTGGGTTATAGGGCTGATGAGTAAAAGTGGTTATGAAAGATAACTGTGTATCAATGATGTCAAAACTTCAGGGAAAAAGATTAGAAATGATAACACTGTTGTCATAGTTTACTAATGATGACTAAAAGATGAATAAGAGAAAATGTTAAACACATGTCCAAAACCAAAAATGATACGCTCTATGTTTTGGAACAACATGAATGCACCCCTACTTACTGAATTCTGTATAAATAAAGAAGCACTCAGGATGCTAGTCAGTCAGGGTGCAAGATTCTCCCGGCCACCATGGCCTGCTCACTTAGTTCCTTCTTCAACTCCTTACATCCTCTGCTGGGACCTGCATCTCCACAGGGGATGTGCTTTCGTTCTCCCTGCCCAGCTGTCCTCAAATGAAACTAGCAGGTGTCCCATGTCTGATCCCTCCCATCGCCACTCTTGCACCCATCCCCCAAATCCTCAGACCCTGCTGTCAGTTGGAGCTGGGCTCCAGCATGCTCCCAATGGGGCGGGGTTGAAGTGAATGGTCCAGGAGGGGGACCTGACCTTGTGGGCGATGGGATTGATGCATGTACACACTACAACTTAACAGGCTATGGGGACATGCGGAAACATTGGGAAGTAGATCACTAGCAGTGTACCCCTGAAGGGTGTATCTAATCTCAAGTCCCCCTTTTATCTTCTTAGGTATTTGTCACAGCGACATAAAGCTAACACACTTGGGTACCAAAATATCTAAAGGCAAAAAGGCCACAGGCATTGGGGTTAGAATTGAAACCCAGGCCCTCTCTTCCACGTCCCATCAGCTCCGAGGCACGGCTAAGGGAGGGCAGCTGAGGGCAGTGAGGAGGTCTGGAACTTACTCATTAGGTCCTTGTCTTGGTGCTGCTCAATGATGGCTTTCAGGGCTCCTTGGAGCTCTGTGTCTCTTTCAATGAGGCTCCACTTATGCAGGAGGACCAGGACATCTTTGGTGGAAAGTGTCACCTTGTTCACAGTGAATCGGCCCATGTCCTTGAAGGTCTTTAGAATGGTGGCCCGATAACTCAGCACAGAATCCAGTGTCCAGAAGAAGCTGATCAGCTGGGCAGAGGTCAAGGATGGCCTGTTTGGACGCCAGTGTTACAGACTGAGCAAAGCTGACCCTGTCCTGGGCAGTCGGGGAAAGTCAGGGTCACACAAACTACTTGTTTCTTTCTAAGTGCAAACCAGCCTGTGCTCAGGACACAGCGAGGGAAAGTGAGACACTCTAGAGAGACCTAGAACCTCAACTCTGCTGGAGGAAGAGAGTCTCTTTGGAAAGCTAAGCTAAACAGGAGAAGTTGAGCAGAAGATGGGAGGGTCAGGGCCATGGCAGTGTCCCAGAACGACCCTAGGATGCTCATTCCTCTCCAGCTCAGACAGGCCCTGCTGAGTACACCCCACAGGCAGCACCTGAGTGAGCAATGCTGAGTACATCCCACAGGAAGTGGACAGAAGAGAGCTTTAAATGTCAGCTGCTCCACACAAGGTTGAATATTAAACCATCATTTCCAAGGGCCATCAGCTGTCGGGAGGCAGTGTTCCAGACAACCCCAAAGTAAGAGGTATGGTTGCCCAGCAGAGTCTTAATGTAATGTGGGACATGAAACCAACTGCCCTGTTCTTATAAAACTGCCTCCACTCTGAGCCCCATTCTGCCCCTCCAACACCCCCCAGCATGAGAAATTTAAGTACACATTTTCTCCAACAATGAATCTGAGGAGAATTGCGTCCGCAGAGGTCCCTTGTACATGTGCATCTCTGGAGGCTGCAGAGGTATCGAGGAAGGCTTGTGCGTGCCCTGGCTAAGGCTAAGGTCACACGACACATGCTATTCTGCAGACCCGCATTTGTTCAAGCACGGTGGGGGTGTGGCAGACATTTCTCCTGCTAAAAATGCCCCCAGCTTGACGCACTGTGGGTTCTAGCAGTCTGCGGAGCACCCAGAGCCTCCACGAGAGTCTTGGAGACACTACAACAGGTGTCCTGATGCCGACACAGCACTCTAGGCCAGTCCACATGGCTCAGGGCTCACCTGTTGGGTCTGTGGCCACAGATGGCAGAAAGGAATAAACAGCACTGCCTCTGTTTTCACGGCAGCATATCTATGTCATGGTGGGCTCACCTCAGGTGCTTTGTAAGTGCGATGAGGACATACAGGAACTCATTGACGATGTGCAGGGCCAGCATCTTCTGGGACTCTTGGGAGCCAGGCCGGCCAGGTGGCTGCTTCCCCTGCTCCCCTTCTCTGCTGCCCAGGTTGGTCACCCACAGGGTGTGTAGCAAGGAGATGACATTGGAGAGCAGCTGAGTCTCCACAAATCTGAAAACAAATCATGGCAGCAGTCTAGATCACTGTCACCTGTCAGGGAGTCAGGGAGGCCAATTTGTGAGGCTGAAGTGGGGACCACAGAACAGGTCAGAATGCCGGTGACAGCCCTCCCTGCCTTCAATACTCTGACCTGTTCATCCCTCAAAGCATATAAGTAAAAACAAGTCAGGCTAGAGAGACGGCTCAGCCTTTAATGGCTAGGCTTACAACCAAAATAAGTAAACCAACGTGCCTGGTGTAGAAATGCAGCATCAAGCCAGGATGAGGCCACCAGGACATTTTCTAACCAGAAAACTGTCCCAAGTCCCCAAAGTACAGTAAGAACAGCACTGTGGTTATGGTAGCAACTTGAGCTATAGATGAAGTTATCACAGGACAGGCTATTAGCCAATTACATCTGTAAAAAAAAATCTGAATGCCTTGAAGTTGTTGATGTTGGAAGACAAGGTTTAAGCTGTTTCTTTCTTTCAGAAAGATTTTACTCTATTTGACATTTTGAGGCAGGGTATGGCACTCTAGCCCAGACTGGCCTTGAACCCCCTAGAATCCTCTGGCTCAGCCTCCTGAGTGGTGGGATTACACACACAAGAAACTTTAGAAAACTATCTTTTTAATGACAATCTCTGGCTGTGCTTATCTGCAGGTATGAGCACCTAGTTTTTATATTAGGGATAAAAGATCGTTTGACCTTTGGTTAAAAACAAACAAATCAATGAACGGCCATCTTCTACAACACCGGGTTATGACACGACAGTGTGTCACACCTCCTGGGGTGAGGGGCAGGCACCCTGAAGAAGTCATCTAGTGTTGTGACAAACAGGACAGTAAATATGCAGAGTTCCCATGTCAAGCTTTTCAAAGAGCTGAGAATTACTTCTGAAAAATGAACAGAGACCCAGTGGCCCTGGGCACATTACAGGTGCCCTGCCACAGACAGGAGTCTCCGGGGAGTGCTGCAGGCCAGAGTCCCCAGCCTTCCATACAGACTCACAGTGATGGAGGCGATGAGGGAGGACAGGCATCTTCTGCCCAAGCCTCCACACCGCAGCATGGCTTCTCCCTGCCCAACCCCCACCCAGTGCTTGAGAACTCATCTACCTTCACTGGGCATTGCAGAAGCTCAGGTGACAGGACACCCCAGGGGATGAGTGTGACAGGAAAAGGCAGGAAGGCAAGTGGGGCTCTGTCAAAGTGGATGCAGCTGTGCTGCAATCCCAGGCAGACAAGAGACCCTGAAAAGCAGTAGTTAATGGAGGGGAAGAAAGGCCCTTTGGCTATTCCCAGGAGCTGGACTTCAAGCCCACAGGAGTTCCAGTGGGATGCCACTGCACACAATCTACTGATACTTTAGCGATACTATGAATACATAGCTCATGGAAAAAGTTCTTACCCACTCTCAAGGATGTGTAAGATCCATGTTAAAAGGCTATAGTCACGTATGATTTCATAGGCAGATCTGGTGATGAGGGCAACATTCTGCAGAATTTCCAAAATCCAATTCTGCAAAGCACAAAAAGTCACTCCTGAGAGGACAAACAAACTTATTCAACGAAAAGTGAGTTTTCCTTCCCACTAATAGATTTTAGATAGGGACTCACACAGCCCCAGATTCTGAGGGATGAGATTGCAAGCATTAGCCACTAGGTCCAGACTGTATCAGCATGCAAAGGACAGAAGACAGACTCCCAGCAGTCACAGGTCTGGGGAGAGCCTCACTTCTGACAGTCTATGAAAATGACCCACAGCATAATGTACCATGAAAACCACATGGCTCAGACACACGATGGTCCCCAGACTTCCCTTAACTGCTTCTGGGCACCTCAGAATTCTCTCTATAAAAATAAAAAACTACCACACTCAAATTCCATTTACTGTAATGTGGTTCTTCATCCTGACTGAAAACCCCCACATCTTACATAAGACAAAAATAAAAGCTCGAAAGGTCAAGAATTAATCCTTTCCCCAGTTTCTTCTTTCAGCAGCCTGTGCATTTAGAAAACATAAAACGGCTGTTGGTCTCAGGGCAAACTCACTGGCTCTTGGTGGGTGAGGGGCAGCAGTCCCAACTCTCAATTCTTAGTTACTATGACTCCCCAGATCAACAGCAAGTTAGGAATTAAGTCTTTAATTAAAATTCATAGTGCCTTTGACTTTTAAAGCTTTAGTGAAAACTGCACACTGTCAATTTCCTTAGATGATGATGACCACACCAGACTGTCAAAAAAGAAAGGATCCCGCCTGAGATGCCACTCTAAAGCTTACAGATTGGTACATCATGACAGGGGAAGGGACACAAGAAGTTATGATCTCACAAAAAACAGAGAGTCAACTTCAAGTCTGCTAGTGCCTACAGTCCTGGTACATGAGAGGCAGGGTGAACGCTGTAAGTTCAAAGCCAGCAACACGAAACGCAGACCTCAGGCCAGTCAGGGATACAAAGTGAGATCTTGTTTCAGAAACAAAAAGAGTAAATTGCAGAAGAAGAAGAATATAACTGAACACACAGTGTGACTGTACACAGGCCAACATGTATGTTTTATGCTATGCATCCAGGCTGGCCTTGAGTCCTCCTGCCGCAGACTCCTGAGGGCTGGGTTCCCCTGCAAAGGTCTGTGTTTCCAGACACTACATGCAAAGCTGGGAGCTACAGAGCTCCCATCACTCATGTCAGATAATTTGCATTTTGGCTTTCTGGCCAACTCCACTGTAGGCTTATGGTCAGTAATTAGCAAAGAGGCAGAGCCCTTTCCTCCTGTCACCAAGGGTGTGGCAATAAGGCTACAAAGAAAACCACCTGTCTGTCATGGGACAAACAAGGCCAGACTCGACACATACGACGGCAGAGAACAGCCAGCTGTGCAGTGAACCTGAGATGCTCACCTGGGCCCTTGGTCACACAAGGGGCTGCTGAAGAAGGACAGGAGGGTGTGGAACACCCCTCTCCTGGAGCACAGCTCATAGCACTGTTTGTCTCTAATCCGCTGACGCAGAATTCCCAGCACCCATTCTTGTTCAGTTTTTTGCTAGGCAGACAAGTAAGAAAGCACTCTTAGATAGTTACAGCCCTTTCGTGGACAAGTAAGCACTACTGTTTCCAGGTGATGGCCAAGAGCTCTGGCTTTACATCATTAAGAGCCCCATCCCGTCTTTGATTCCATTATCAGCTCAGAAACCAAAGGCCAAGCGCGTCACACACTGGGCATGTTTCAGTGGGTGGGGTTTACAGAAGGGTATGTAATACTCAGTGCGCAGCCTCGGCAAGCAAACACAAGAGGGTGCTGCAAGCCTCTGTACTCAGACTTTCAGGCAAGTCTGAGAAGTGCCAGGGCACAGGAGTGTGTCTGCCTTTGCAGGGCAGCACAGATGGTTCCTTTCTGTGGCCTGGCTCTGCATTGTGTAGCAAGCTGTATTGCTGGGGGACACAGAGGATGCTGTGGCTGAGCAACCTTGTTCAGGTGTCTCTGGGGAGGTTGAGGACCTGGCAACACTACCTGGAAGTCAGAGCTGTAGAAGAACTGGTAGAAACCTGGAAGTTTGTCCATGTTCAAGTTCTCATGTGATAGCAGAAACTTGCTGATCTTCCAGTACATGTGCTACTCTGAGAAAACAACATGCAGTCACTGACAGTCTCACGGAAGAGACCGACAGTGTATGAGCTGGGGACAGATCCCTACCCAGCAGAGCTTCTGCACCCTTCTCCTGATGACTAGGCCCTAAGAAACGGCATGACTGGAAACCAAGACCACCTCTACATGCAGCTTCTCCACATGGCTTAGGAACTATTCCGGGGCTTGGCCACAGAGACAAGAGCACAGGGCTCACACTGCCCTGCTTCTAGCCTCTTCTAGAAAGGAACCAAACCAGGAGGGAGGCTCAGACATCGGGCTCTGGGATACAAGGCCGGGAGGGCACACATGTCCTCTTCTTACTACAGTCTCAAAGACTAGCTGCAGGGCCGCTGGTCACCAACACATGACCTTCCGTGGCATGAGGGCTGATGTGACAGCTATACCCAGGCACCATGGGCTCAAGGGAGGCTACAACCATGAACACCCGATCTCTGCTGGATTTTCTCCTAACAGACTCTTTTAAATCAGCAAAGTGATAATTATTTAGCCTCCGCCACCAGTTTCTAAGGCAGGGAACTATATGTCACGCAAAGTATGTGACAGAGGAAAAGCAGACCTGAATTCTAAGAGCAACTTGATTACATGCAAACTGCAGAAGCCTCAGATGGCCAGGAGCTGGGAGAGTCAGCTGGGAGTGTCTTCTCAGCTGAGATTATGACCTTGCTGGACTCCAGGGCCACCAACCTTCTACTGGTTTTCCCCTGATTAACCCAAAGAAGGCCTTCTTCTGGCGAATCAAGGCCTGTTCCTAGCATGTCCTTTCAGACCTGTGTTCTAACACTCTGGGTTACATGTACAGCATGACTCATGCTTTCCAGCTGAGTACTGGGGCAGCACACACCATGGTCTCTGCTAAGCATGGGTCAGTGAGAGACAGTGTCAGACAAGCAGCTATTAACTCAAATGGGAGTATGCTGTGCCAGGTAACCTGCAAGGGCTTTGAAGTGCATGACTCCTGAGCACTCTGCAGAGAAGACACCCAGGGGCCCGACTCCCAGAGCCTCTTTTCTGTCTGTCCCCTCCACCAGCATCTATGAGGGTACCTGGTTTCAAGATCTGAAGTATACATGGTGAACACACTCCAACTAAAAGAGACAAGCGATGAGATTAAAATCAGCTCTCATGTTGTTAAGGACACGCTCCCCTGAGAACCCACGAGTTAAAGCACAGGCTGGGAAAGAATGGTCAGATGACTGTTCAGTGGCTTACAGACTCAATTTTAGAGTTTTTTTAACAACTGGTGAGCTCTGATGTGGAAAGAGAACTAAAAAGCTTTATAAAAGCATCAAACTGTAGATAAAATTAACTTTGGACAACAAATGTATTTAAGAGACAGCTACATAACAAATATTCATGAATAGAATATGTTTGAGAGAGAACAGTCTAAACATTTAATTTTCACTCAATGAGAAAAGCTTGAATCTGATGGCTGGTATTATTTTAGTAACTACTGATGTTCTCAGACAAACGAATCTCCCATGTGTCCATGAGGAAGAATCAATTTCCTGTTGTGACTTTCTCTGCTCTCTACGGTCTTGGCTTTGTACTTGTGGAAAAGGACTGCTCTTGGGTGCTGAAAATATAACAGACTATTTAAGCGGCTACAAATGCTGTTCTGTTTTAGGAACCTTCTCAACAGTAATTTGGCCTTCTAAAACCACCTGTAACATCAGGACATGTCCACGACTAACACCAAAGCCCCCAAGTGTAGCCGATGTTAATGGATTGTGGTTCTGCTCCAGGAGCACCAGGAAGTGTGCCCAGTCTCTGTATGTGACATCCTCAGCCGTGAACTGTCAAAGGTCCTTCAGAGAGCAGAGTGCACAGGGCTGCTTCGCTGGGCACTGCTGCCTTGGCAGCCTGCAGCTGCATCCTGCTAGTACAGGAGCTGCTATGGAAAAGGCATCTGTCACTGCCACTGCTAACAGCTTTGGCGGACCGCTTCTTGGCCAAGCACTCAAAGAGGAGAGGTTGTAAGGTCAAAAACAGGTTTCCGCTCTACACAAGGGCTGAAAGTGAAGCTGTAAGACAGAAGAATCCCAGGCCTGACTTAGGACAATGCAAGCATGACACATGACTATGGTGGAAGCAGACTGCTCGGGCCCCTTCCGGCATGCACAACACGCAATACATGCGAGCGTGTGCACACACATATACATGCACGTGCATGAAAAACAAACCATAAAACTTTTTAAATAAAAAGGAAGCCATGCCTATAAGTCAAATGCAGAAATTATTTACTGTGTGCCTTAAAGTTTTAATTTTCTATCATCTAAACTTTAAAATTTGAATGCATTATCCAACACTAAAAATAACTAAATTCTCAATTCTGGGAAAAAGGAACAATACTAACTATCCCTTGTTCTTTTAATTAAGTATAGCTAAGGACATTGAACATAACATTAAATAAACCCATGAGCAAGCAAGATGACTGAAGCGAAGCCTGGCAACCAGAGTTGTATGACTGGGACTCATCCTTAGTGCTGTCCTCTGACCTCCAGGTGTGCTAAACATCCTATGCGTGATAATAAGGACTAATCAACAAACCAAAGCCTATCATGACTAAAAGGGAGAAAAAGAGCCATGCAGGGCTCTAGACCCAAGGAATGACAAGGCAGACTGTGCCCCATGGGCCCAGATTTGGTGCTGAAGAACCCAGCCACATAATCAAAACAAACAAAACCCTAAAAGAATGGTTTTTTTTTGACTGAGACTAACCTGGGGAGCTATAACAACAATTGGTAGCAATGTGACTGCAGAAGGCTGGCACTCACCTGGTCTGGTCAATTCCCAGAGATGGAGGAGAAAGCAGGGGTCATAGAGACTGTCGAGGTCCACTCTCACAGTATTATCTTTAAACATCAGTGGCTCCCCTGAGTCCTGAAATAGCACAAGCCGACAACATGCACATGGATGTGATCATCTGAATGGTGACCCCACTGTCCGAGCATATAAGCAGTTCAATAAAAAAGCAGTTTTCACATGATAATGTGATCCTTGACACTTGTTTCAAGAGAAGCTTGTGGGGCGTAATAAATAAAACAGTGTGACCCAGCCTCAGTATGGACACTGGGGGTCCAGTCTGTACCCCTGAACAAAGGGGGGTGGCAGGGGGCAGAAGGGCAACAGCACACCTCAGTGGGCAGCAGCCTCCGGTGCTGTGGGAAGTGCAGGATGGTTCGCATCGTACGGTCAGGGTCCAGCAGGCAGAGGATGTCCCCAACCCTTGGCTGCTGCCACAGTGACTTTCCTAGGCTTTGGCATGTCTTGTGATGTTCAATAGCTGCTGGGCCCCATAGCAGAACCCTAGAGCCAGAGAGAAATACAGACTGGTCACAGGACCCACCAGGAACAGAATGATGACCGCAACCCCAACATCCAGACCGTAGCTCATGCCAAATGCCACTCTGGGTAAGCACTTTGTATTCCTCACGACAGCTTCTGAAATTGGCATGGTGATGGGGTTGCTGAGGGTGCAGGACAGCAGGTGACAGCAGCAGAAGTCCCCACCCATACACTACCACACTGCTCTACTCCTAGAGTATCTGGCTAGACCGAGCCTTCTGCACGCATTATTTCACTTAATCTGTGCAAGGATCCTACAGCCTACATGGCATTTCCTGTGCAATGGGGGAGAGGTACTGAAAGGGCTGGGGAAGTTGTGTGGCCATTCACTTGCCGGCTGGTGAGTAGCAGAGCAGGGGTCCTATGTGACGGGGTCTGGCTCCAAACCAAGCTGTAGCAGCAGCGATAGGATCCTGACCTCTGGCTGCCCACAGGAAGGACCAACTCATCAGGACTGCTGTTTAAGTCTTTAGTCAGCCCTGTCAGGAGAACCCACTCTGTGCAGCCCGGTAATCTCCTGCAGCTGCCCACAGAGGCCCAGAGTCATGGCAAGTACTATGGGTGGGTCTGGTTGGTTCCTGCCAACATTTACATGGAGGCTTTGTACTTGACCTCCCAAAAGTGTGCACTGTGGCAAGAACATGCTACACATATGCCTACACTTATACAAAATAAGGAATAAAAATATTAATAATAGTTTAAAACAATAATGACAAGGAATGAGAAGTCTCGAATCTAGAGCTCCTGGAGAAGGGGCTTCACCCCTGGGCCTAATGTCTCACTGTCCTTTGTTCATGACTACCTGGCAAGCTAGCAATCACCTGAAGCTGATGAGACTGAGGTGGTTCTGTTCATATGCCCGAAGGAGAAGTAAAATCTTTTGGTCTAGAAGGCAAACAAAGCCACTTTTAGGACACCGGGCCCTTCAAATGCACAAGAGAGTCCACCCCACCAGCCTGGCTGACAGCCTGGCCATCAGGTCCTCCTCACCCAAGACACTGAGGGTGGCACTGTAGGTCCCAAGTAGCACAGCAAAGTGGCTGTTCTCACAGACGGAAGGGCACAACTTCACCACTGAGTACATCAGGTCCACCAGGGCTTCTGCAACAAACAAGGGGCATGATCACCAGGGGGACTTTCTCAGGACAGTAAGGAGCTGCACTACAGTGGGCCCTGGATGCTGGCCCTGTCCTTTCTGAGTGAGGGTGCCCTGTGGGCCTCCCACCCATCCTCTTCCCCAGGGTCCCACTTTTGCATTCCTGTAATAACACCTCCAGAATCACCATCTCCACAGCCTCACAGGGCTTGGGCTCAGGATCGACACACCCCTTTCCAAGCCTAGGATTTTAAAACCTAAGCATACCACCCCAGGTAGACCACCATACTTGCCAGCATTTACACTCCCTTTTACTCTCATGAACCAATTGCATCTAACATTTTCTGTCGTTAAGCTAACTGTGTAGATAGACACGTCCTGTGCTGATGCCTGATGGTCTGGGGGTGATGGCTTTGCCTCTGCTGTGTGCAGTGTTGCTTTGAGTGGACAGGGACATTCAGACAGCTCTGACACTGCAGGTTACACTGCTCTGAGGACTTGTGAGCATGAAGTCCAAGCTGACTAAGTTGGAGACAGAGTGGAAAAGAACAGTGGACTACCCCAAGGAAGTTCTAGCCCTTCCTGCTGTCATTCAATCCTCCCTACGAGATTCACGAGGTTAACCCATTCCTCTCAGGGCAAATGTCCATACTCAATTTCCCATCCTTCCCAACTTGTCCTGATTCCCACACTTTAACGCCAACTTATGACAGGCCCACATGGGCCTCCACAGAACCACTCTAAACCAGACAAAGACTCAAAGCAAGTGGCAACTTCTGTGTCACTTATGACTGAGAAGACCGAGGTGCATGTCTGGACCCTGGATCTGATACAGACCCTGAAAACAAGCAGTGCGTGGCTAGCAGGAAGAAACTGAGACAACAGCTGCCATGAGCTGGGAGGGCAGTGTGGGTCACCTTTTCCGTGGCTGTCCACATTGCCCACTTCTTCAGATGTCAGCATGGTTGGCAGAAACAGAGAGTGCTGTGTGAGCATCATGTGCAACACAGGGAGCTGGACAAGTTTCATGTGTACGGAGCTTTCTGGACTATACAGGAGCTCCATGGCATCAAGCAGAGTCTTCAAAAAGGTGAGGTCCTGGTACTGAAATCTGGAAGGACAAGCAAAGGGAAAAAGTGCCATGAAGGGAAGTTTATTTTTTAAGAAACAACATTTGTTCTTAGAATGTCAGAAGTACGAAGACAGAATTTTACAGTGACTGTGTATCCATTCATCACCTGGTTCTTTCAGTGACATGACTTCAGATTTGTTTAGTCACAGGCCTGTCTGTCTACCGTGACAGGTGTGGTAGAATAGTATTTTAAGATATGTGACTTTTGTTTATGCTACATTTGTTTAACTCTGTGAAACTGAGATTCTTTGTCTAAAACCCTGATGGTCTAACAAGAAGCTGAACAGCCAATAGAGAGACAGGAGCAAGGGTAGGCGGGGCTGTAAGGCACAGAGGACAAATAAAAGAAGAACCAAGGAAGATGAGAAGCAATGAACGAGAGAACAATGAGCAAGGGGAAAAGGATGTCTGGGGCCAGATACCCAGCCACCCAGCCACCCAGCCACCCAGCCACCCAGCCACCCAGCCACCCAGCCACCCAGCCACCCAGCCACCTAGCCACCCAGCCACCCAGCCACCCAGCCACCCAGCCACCCAGCCACCCAGCCACCCAGCCACCCAGCCACCCAGCCAGACACGGAGTAAGAAAAAAAGTAAGATATACAAAAGCAAAAAAGATAAAAGCCCAGAGGGGAAAGGTAAACAGAATAATTTAAACATAAAAAAGCTGACAAGAAGCAAGCCAAGATAAGGCCGGGCATTCCTAAGTAAGAATATGACCCCATGTAGGATTTATCTGGGAGATGGTGGGCCCCAAAAAGAGCTAAAAGAGTAAAACATCACACAACAACAGGGATCACTAACCTACATCATGAGGAGATTCTGTCATGATACAGACATCACAGAATGGCCAGAAAGAGACTAAGAGAGCTACATAATCACATGTGGGATCACCATCACATATAAGGTGATCTTTGATCAAGCCATTTTATGTGGCATGTGGCTCAATTTTCTCTGTGGCACAGACATCAAAAAGAACTTTCTGTTTAGTCAAGTCAGCAGGCAGAACTGAGCACAATTCAGTGGACTCTACTAGGTCAGCCTCCCTTGTTCCTTTAGCCATTTGAACTACACCAAGCTGTATGTAAAATCCCTTCAAACCCCACTAAAGGGAAAGATCTATGAAGAACTCTTGTAGCCCTCTCTATGTCAAATTAGGAGTCCCTGTACTTGTCAGGAAGGGAACAGGAAGGTCCATGCTGTACCAGTTCCCCCAGACACACTGACGGAAAGCTTTGAAACAGAGGTGTGGTTACAGATATGCACCTGTAATCCTAGCACTTTCGAATAGGCTTCAGGGTTGGAGGGAGCTTCGGCTATATACTCAGTCTCAAAAGAGGGAGGGAGAAAGAGAGAGGGAGGATGGGGAAGAGAGAGAGAGGAGGAGACAAAAATAATGACAATGAGGGGGCTGGCCGGAGAGTGGAGAGATGGCTCAGTGGTTAAGAGCACTGGCTGCTCTTCCGGAGCACCTGGGTTTAATTCCCAGCGCCGACATGGTGGCTCACAACCACATATAATGGAATCTAATGCCCTCCTCTGGCAAACAGAGCAGACAGAGCACTCATTACATACATACATACACTCATACATACATACACAGATTCATACATACATACATTCACACATACAAACATTCATACCTACACACATACATGCATACATACAAACATTCACACATACATACATTCACACACATACATACACACAAACATTCATACCTACATACATATATACATACAAACATTCACACACACATTCATACATATATTCACATATATACATGCATACATACAAACATTCACACACATTCATACATATATTCACACATACAAACATTCATACCTACATACATACATTCACACACACATACATACGTACATATATTTATACATACAAAGAAGAAATAAGAAATATTGATTGATGGCAGTATTTAACCTGGAAACATTCTTTATGTCTTTCTTCTGCATGACATTTCCTCTGGCATTATATCACAAATGATCAGGAAATGAAGATTATAGGTACCATACATCATTTCATGATTCTCTGACTAGAGCAAATGTGAGGGAGGTCACATTAACTCTCCTGCATTCCCGCTAGGAAAAGTCTCTCAACTTTGCTCACCTAGGGACATTCAAAGTCACTAGGATGTAACAGTCCGCAGGCCCCCCACCAGCTCTCTAGTAAAATGAGTACCAATATGCACCCACTGACATGGGAGTCACTGCAGGGGCCACAAAGAAGGGGAGGGTGCAGAGAATAGGTAGAGTCCACCAGCAGGGACCCACTGTACAATATAGAGATGGGATTGTACATCTTTATGTTTTAAATTAGAAACACGAGTAAAAAAAAAACATGATATGAAAGTTCAAAATATCAAACACATGTAATAACACTCTGAACTTGGAACATACTTTGCCACATAAAGGAGCTGATGGCTACAGCTCAGTGGTATAAAATGAAAAAACCACACGCTGAGCAGAGCCTTGGAAGATAACCATGAGGTGGGGCGGAAGGGAAAGACGGGGATTGATTAAGAGTAACAGAGAAAACCGACACTCACTGAGTGTGAGTGTGTACATGTCCCAGCATGCATTTGGAGGTCCGACAAGTGGGTCCTGGGCCAGTATCAAACTCAGATTGTCTGGCTTGGCAGCAAGCACCTTTATCCACTGACCCATCTCAACAGCCTGGTTTCTTTTCTTGAGATAAAGTCTCATGAAGCCCAGTCTGGTCTTGAACCTGCTGTGTAGCTCAGGATGACTGCAAAACTCCTCCCAAGTGCTGCATTACAGATATGCAATCTCGGGTCTTTTCCACTTTTGTGTTCTGGAATGTTTTTCTCCTTTACAGACAAGGCTGACAGCTGTGCTGTGACTGGTACTCTAATGACAAGCTGACAAGACAAGACGTGTGCGGCTGGAACACTCCACACCTTTGTAAGTAGCACCTAGAAGATCAAATCAACTTACCTGAGTCCGGTCTTCACAAACTGCTGCCAGTCACCAGGGTCAACGTCTTTAAGTGCATGCTGGGAAAAAGCAAGCAATACGCACATGAAACCTATCAGTGAGCAGAGCACACCAGCGTGCAGTCTTCAGGGAACAGGTGACCCAGCTCCAGTTCTAACTCCCTGAATCAGGATCAGGGAAAGCCCTGCGAAACAGCCTACTGAGTCCATCAGTCTAGCCCTCAGCTACTCCAGCCACCTATTGCCATTCCTGCCGACACCAGTGGGCAGAGACAGGACAATGATCTTTCAACAAAGGCCAACATGCAGATTCTGGATTTACAGCAAATATAATCAAAGCCCCCAAACCACACAGGGCTTTGTCTAAGACAGGGTCTCATGCAGCCAGCCTTGAACTAACTTTGAACTTCTAACCATCCTGCCTCTACTTCCTGAGTGCTAGGATTACAGGTATGAGTTAGCACGGTTTTATTCAGTGCTGGTGATGGAACCCAGGATTTTGTGCATGCTGAGCAAGGGCTCAGGCCACTGAGCTACAACCCTGTGTTTTTTAAAAAGTAGTACTGACATTTTATTAGCATACCCACGAACACCAAACATTCAAAGGGACATTTCCCAAGTGACCTTGTTATGTTTCCTTCCCTACCTTTTTACACAGCACTGGTAGATTTGCAATTAGCCTTTTATTGAGGAACTAGTGGGAAATACTCTCACCCAACCCAGGAACAGTGTACAAAGGGAAGAGGTCTGTGGGACATGAGGCTCAATGCTGGCCTTGAGTCCTTAGTTCACTCAAGTCACAGCCTCCACCAAGGCCAGCCATGTGTGGGGCCCTCAGGGCTGAAGACTGTGAGCAAACTCCCAGGGCACTGGGCCCTGCACTGAGGACTTCTCTGACTCATCACATGCTTAAATCCTGTCTCTTTGCCCCAACAACTGCTCTTTCAGTAATCCACCTGGGTATAACTGAGCAAATGTACAAGGGACTATGGTGGTCAGTGCTGAGCTTGACAGGATCTAGAATGATCTGGAAGACAAAAGCCCCTGGGTATGTCTTGGGGGAGTTTCTAACACTGAAAATTCAGTTTTATCTCAATTGCATGCATGCAGAGATAAACGTCTCTAGGATATTCATTCACCTAACATGGCGGAACAGGGTTTCCCTGGTGCTGGTGGCAGGATTCTGTGGATGGAATGTGGGGACCTACAGGTGCTCATCCAGCACTCTACCACTCGGCTACACTACAGCTCTGCACTGCTGAAGATTTATGATCACAAACCAGTAGATCTAAATTTCCATGGGATTGGTGGAAAGAGCGATAGACACCATACATGGGTTACTACTGAGCAGTCAAATCTCACTTCTCACTGCCCTATCTGTAAAGAATCATTTAACCAAGAGCAGAGAGACTCAAGGGTACATGCTCAAATCATGCCTTGTTTGGGTTCCTGTTACTTTACATTCACCAATCTATGATAAAACAAATGAAGTCAGAAAATACAGCTTGTAAAGTTTCTTTATATATATATATATATGTATATATATATATATATACATACATACATACATATATATATATATATATATATATAAAATCTGATAAAATCCAACATCCACTCCTGGTAAAAGATGGCTGACAAACTCAGTGCCTTTCCACCCACTCTGTCCCTAGACATCACTCCCTTCATTTCTAAGCATACAGCTAGAAACGGAACTTTGAACCTGGCTTGTCTGGCTCAGTGTCCCCTCAGCACATAACCAGGGTCTACCTCTAGGAGGGACACTTACCAACAACTTGCTTACACGGAGCAGCATTGGCTTCTCTTGCTCCTGGGTGCTTTCATCCCCTGGCTCCCTGGCACTGAAGGACACAACCAGCCACTGCACACAGGACCCCAGGAGGGTCTTCCTCCAGGCACCCAGCTCTTCTGCGGACTCTGCCAAGGCTGCTGAGACATAGTCAGCCACGATCCAACTGCAGCAGGAGACCAGGTGGCAGCGTTACACTGCGAAGGGCTGCCTGCACGGCACAGAGCCCACACTACCCACTCTGTCAGTGGGGTCAACACACCAGCTCACCAGAGAAAGAACAGTCTCTCCACACTAATTCTGCACGTGCGTGCCTGAGACATAGTTCCTCTAGGTATAGGATTTTTACTGGGTTGGAAGTTACTATCTTTTTTTTTAGACATAGTTTCTTTATTGATTCTTTGGGAATCTGACACCATGCACCCTAATTCCACTCATTTCCTACCCCCCCATATCCTTTTCTTACCAACCCCCTCAGTGCCTCTAAAAGAAAATTTTTTAAAACATGAAAACAACTAAACAAACAAAAACAAGAAGAAAACAACCCAAACACACAAAAAACGACCCCTTTTCTTCCCCTCTCCTGCCTCAATTACCTCTTCCCTCATCCTGGTGGCAACAGGAGCAGTGTGTCACACACACCCTTGTGTCTAATCAGCTTTACTAGCAAATGTTTGTTGCAACGAGTCTTCTCCAGATTCATTCTTAACTAGGGTCTCTCCCGACCTCTGTACTAGTGACACACAGGGCCTGGTGCTTTCTCTGGGAGACTGTTCTATGACAGCATGTAGTGGCACTGTCTTCTCTACCCTCTGGAGACCAGAAACCTGACCACCTCACCCAAGTTAGACACTGCAAAACAACTGTGAGGGAAGTCACTCTGGTAGAATACCGCTCTCAGGGCATCAGCCCCAGCCACCCACATGCAGAGATGCATTTCTCCAGCCCTAAGGCTGCTCTAGTCAGAACTGTGGTGGCATCTACTAGCACAGCAGGAAGACAGGCACTCTCCATTCTTGATGCAAACCAAAGAGCAGAGCGACACTAGCAAGGGAAAGCCACCCAAAGGCCTTGGCTTGCATACCTCTTGTGACTATGCAGAGTTGGAAGCAAGGTGGGTAAATGGTCCATGACAGCATGCAGGTCTTTGGTTCTTGCAAATGGAATGAGCTGGGCCATCGCCTCCAGATGTGGCTCATGTTTGCAGAGACCATCAACATGAACAAGCCTGTGTCACACTTACCTCCATAGCGCCTTCAAGACAGGAGTGACAGCAGAGCGCACTAGACAGACACAAAGCAGAGGTTACTGTGCACAGCGCAGGGCACCTATGGAGAAGCAGCTGCCTGTGGGAAATCTCCCTTTAGGAAGCATCTGTCACTCACAATACACAGCAATAACAGAATCACTTTTATGCTTATAAATGGTTAAGTTGGAGGTGATTGGGGACTGGCTTGAGGCTTAGCATGAGGAGAACTGGACTCACACTGCTGAGACTCAGTATGAACTCACTAAGCACTTCCCAGAGGAAAAGGACAGTATAATGGGACACAGGATGGCTTAGCCCTCAGTTACTTTGGCTCAATCGCAAACAGCCAGACCAGCCCCAACTACTGCCCACCCTATCCTGCTTTTGTAACTAGGAATGGATAGGCACCTGGAGCTACAACTTAAGACAGGATATTGAGATGTTCCACCTAAAGAGATCACAGTAAGGAGGAGCAGAACTGTGCCATGCCCCAGAACTGACAGGGTTTAGGATAACAAGCCATTCTGTCTTCCCAGCAGAAACTCCAGGCTGTCCAAAGCCGGTTCTTTCCGTACCTCCTGCTGGCCTCGTGAAGCCTCCTTGAGTCCTGTGCTGGAGATATACATGGATAAGCAGGAGGAAGTCATCCAGGTGCTCCTGCAAGAGCCCCACACCAGGCTGCCCACACCACAGCTCAAACTTCAGTAGGTGGGTGCTGCTGTGTTGCAAAAGCAGGCTGGCAATACCCAGGGATGCCTTTGTCCGTCGGACCAGGCAGTACTCAAGGACATCAGTTGGGACCACAGTGGCCAGCACAGGGTCTCTCTGCAGAGTCTGAAGAAATACAGTGTCCAGCTCATGCTCGGCCAGAGAGGGGAGCAGAGCCCCCAGGCCTCGGACATACTCGGCCCATCAGAGGAGCTCACTGCTCTGCAGCCTATCATGGGGGCTGCTTGTCAACTGTTCTACCAGGGTCTTCCCCAGACTGCTCAGTTGTCTCTCCTTCCCTGGGGACTGTGGGGCTTGCTGGGTCAGCAACTGGGCCTCTGGCAGTCCCAGCAGGGCCAGGGTGACCTCTCGGATCTGGACACTTTCCATGTAGGGATGCAGCTCCCGCAGGGCCTCCAGCTGAGGCAGGGTCTTGGGTGCTGTCGAAGAACTCACAGTCCTGGTGCACAGCTCTCTCAACACACTTTGGGTGACGGCTTCTGAGTACTTTGCCAGGAGGCCCAACTGACCCAGTTTATGGAGAATTGGGGAGCATGTCACCAGCAGCTGAAGGACACCTGCACTCAAGCGGGCTGCTAGGAGCTTCGCAAGGGTGGGGCTGAGCGTGTGTGGAGGCAAGGCTTTCCGTTCCAGGGCTAGAAACCAACTCTCCAGTGTGGGATGTTTAAGGACGGCCACCAGCAACTCCTCTATTGTCTGTAAAACAAGGGCAGGGGCATACTTTATGTGTAACACAGGGTGCTGGGAGGCCACAGCTCCCTGCAAGTGTCCTGTGTTCTCAGGGAACAGCAGGGAGCGCCCTGGGAATCTGCTCTATCTCAGCCCCAAGGGCTGATGCCTCTCAGGCAAGCTGGCAGCACCCTGCCTCATGCACGGGCTCCAGAAGCCCCAGGCAGCATAGAACACAGCTACTTGTCCCTCACCCTGACCCCCACAAGGGCTCAGGGTCCAAATAAGAGCTGAGGACTGACAAGAGGACAAAGGAGTCACTGGAAAGACAGAACCCACACTAAGCGGTCACTGCTGGGCAGGGGTCACATCGTCTTAGCCAGGTTTCTACATTTCTCTAGCCTCCTATAGTGAACACACTTTTAAACTCAGAAATGGATGGCCAGTGCCACAAACAGTGGGAAAAAGGATAAGAGGCTGTGGTGGCAATACCTTGTCAGCAGCCAACTTGAGTGAAGCAACAGACTCCATGTCCAAAAACAGATCAGACTCTGCACCGGCGGCCTCCACTTTCTGCTGGTTCTGGGCATCCAGCTGTTCTGCGTGGACAACCAGGTGCTTAAGAAGATCCAGGAGGAGCTGCAGGAGGGTTGGGCCCACACTTTTGTCCAGCTGTAAGAGGCACATGATGCTCAGACAAAGAAGGGCTGATAAGCCAGCAGAGTCCTGACTGCCGGGCCCAATGGAATCAGCAGGAGACTGGAGGAGCAGGCCAATAAGGCAAGACTCAGGCAGGGAGGAGAGAGGGAGGAGGGGGAGGTGGGGAAGAGGAGGAGGGGGAGGGAGGAAGAGGCGAGGGAGAGAAGAGGGAGGTGGAGAAAGAGAAGGAGGGAGGGGGAGAGGCACTGACCTGGTTGAAGTTTTCCACAGTGCTCTTGAGATACAGCAGCACCTGTGTGGCTGCGCGCAGCACCTGCTGCAGAGTTAGACGCCGGACAGCAGCTAGCAGATGTGTCTGAATGCTCCTGTCCCCAAGAGTGCAGCTCTCATACGATGGATGTTTGCAGCAAGGTGAAGAAGCGAGATGATGACGGGGAAACATGGGGTACAGAGCTGCTGGGCACCTGCAGTGGCTGAGGGATCAAAAGGCACAGAATGGGAAAGAAATCACCTCAGAAGCAAAAGGCTGCACACACCGGTGACAGCTGGGTAAAGTGTAATGAAGGGCATTTCACTAAACATTTGGTATAGCATGGCACCGCCTTCAAGGAAACCCCACCCCAACACTAACAGCCTGACGTCAACCTAGCGCGCTTGACAACAGAGTGCCCAGCACCTAGCATGCAGAATGACAGACCTTTAGTGAGGAGCCAGCCAGGAAAGAACCACTCAGAGCAAAGTCCAGCTTCAAGCAACCTGCCTACCCTGAGTATCTTGTCAAAAGGCCTGGAAAATGGGTAGAAGGAAAAGAAGGATTCAGAGCAGTCCTGGTCTAAACAGGAATTATTCACGTACAACCACCGAGCTGTAATCTCAATCCACGCACAGGACTTAGAACACTTTGCCTTCCCTCAGGTAAAAGCAGCTGTGTACAGATGTTCAGTGGTTCTCAAAGCATGGTCTGAGGTCCAGCACAGCAGAGGCATTCCTTGGGACTGTGACAAAGGCTGACTCTCAAGATCCCAGCCCATACCTGCTAGCTGGGTCGCATTACAGTCAGGGCCTAGTGACCAGGTTTCAATATGCACCACGAAGTGTGAATCCAGCTGCAATCCACTCAACAGAGGGTGGTCACCAACACAGCCCACAGGAGGAGCGGCACTGACCTCAACTGCCTGCTGCCTGTGGGGACCATTCATATGCAGAGGACGATGGCAGTGCTGTCTGGAACCTGATCGAATCCTGCCCCACCTCTAACTGCTGGTGGGAGTTTCCACACTGCAGGTTCCAAATGTGTGTACAAAGGGCCATCAGAGCCTTGAGCACCTCTCAGAAGTAGGGGACCAAGTGGCTTAAATATGCATGGCACACCATCAACATGGCTACTGTCACAAGACCAAGTCCCTGGGTGAACTGTGCTCTTAAGCACAGTTGAAATGGAGAGAATCCACACAAACCCACTTTGTGCCCAAGACAGTTTAGACACAGAGCATCACAGCAAGAATCCTCCTCATCACTCCAGTTACTCTCCAGTTTTAGTGTGGAGCTCATGGGGTTACTGAGGGGCAGGTCTGCTAGACTAGCACACTACGGTCTGTAGAAGACAGTGAAGACAGGCACTCCACCTCACTTGGTAAGGGAAAGGGGAAGAGGCCACTTCTTGTCCTAAACTGAACAGTGATGAGCCAGTTAGCATCCTTAGAGAGCTACACACTCAGGTCAGCAGAGCAGGATGGCTGGCACACCTCTTAAGCAGAGGTGATGGGAAGGCTATGCTCTCACTCTGGGAACTGTACAGCATCTGAACCACACCGCTGCACATCTAGCTATAGCGTCAGGAAGGAACTCTGGGAGGACCAGTAAGTACAGCTCACCAAGACCTCCTGAGCCTGCTCAGGGATCCACAGGCTGTATGTAGTATCTGTGAAACCTGGCAAGCTGATGACAGCAGAGAAAGCTGGCAGGCTGAAACTTGTCATAAGACTGGAGCAGAAGACACAGAGCTAGGGGGTCTCTCTGGGTATGGAGGAGGTCAGTCAGCACGGTAATCAGATATGCCAGGATGCTTTCCCCTGCAAAGGAATTGGCGGGCAGGGTCAGGGAGTAGACTCCTTCTATGACACACTGACACAACCCCCTTCCACATACACATCAGACTCAGGAAAGCTGAATGCCAGCTCCATGAAGGGTCAGATGCCCACATGGGAAGGTACAGGCTCCTGCAGTGTCCCTGGCTCTAGTTCAATATAGAGAGAGCACATGGTCTGATATCAGGTCCTCAGGCCTGCAAGTGGAGATCCAGATATATGTACAGCTAGACCAAAGCTACCCGGGCCAGGACTTGCCGGTGACTCTCCTGTGTTGTCCCCTGCCTTGACACACAGGTCTTTCCAATAGGTACGGTAGGGACACACGCCACCAGTCCCTCTCCAGGAGCAGCGCTCCCCACTTTATCAGGTACTCTGGGATGGGCAGCGTCGCCTTCCCCAGTGACCCTAGACACCACGGCTATGAGACAGCCTATGTCCATGGGTCACTTCCTGGAAGACAACCACCAGAAGAGCCACCTGACCTGTGCTAGTGTATGACAAGGTCTGGAAACAGACGTTTACTCTCAACCCACTGCCCTGGGGGCTCATGTGTTATGGTAAAGTCTGGGTACTCCAGACTCTTATAGTCTGTGCATGCTCTCAGGTCTAAGATACTTGAGAATCTCAACAAACAGCCAAGATTCATCCCTATCCCGAAAGCAGGACTGAGTAGCCCTGAGAAAAACCTCAGGGCAGTGTCAGGCTCTGTGGAGCCGTGTAAACACAGTCTTCCAGAGTCACCCTTCGAAGACTGCTACGAGGCAGCCATGTCACCTGCACACCCATGCCTGGGCTCTGAGCCCAGGCTGAGGGTCCATCACTCTGGGGAATCTGACTGTTGGCCCTTTATACTTTTAGGCCCTGGTATCCCGATCCCAACCTCCGTAGACACCCTGACTATGCACAGGTACCTGCTTTACTTTCTGTCCCAAGGAGAAGCTTATTCCTGGCTTCCAGAGCTGCAGGGACCAGAGCACTGAAGGGGAAGGTGAGCAGAACCATGTCTTCATTTAACCCGATGTCCTCATCCAGGCCCTCGCTGCCTTCCACCAGGACATCTACCATGTCCAGCACATCTGAGATGTAAGAGAGGAGGCTAGCTGATGAAGGAGCCACCACAGGGTCCCACTATAAACAGCCTAAGACAGAAAGAGGCAACAGAATACTTACAAAAGAGAAAAACAAAAGTGTTCAGACTCCCCTCAGGGGAAAATACTTCCTAGGGCCTGGCAGAGGAAGACACTTCCTGCAGTTCCTATGGCATTTGGCAAAGTACAGACAGGTACCCAGCTAAGGCAGTAATTAGAGCCCAGGATCATTACCCCAGGCGTTCGGATCAGAGAGGGCCACAGTACAGACCAGCACTTGGGCATCTAGGTTCAAATCCTGAAGTGGCTAGGAGTAACTGAGAGCCAAAGAGACTCAGCCTCTCTGCCTCCACGTCTTTAACTACATACTAGAGGAGGACAGCAGTACCTTAGAGCTGTTATGAGGTTTCTGTGAGATCCATAAAGAGCTTAAATGTGGCAGTACACAGTAGATAACACAACAGAAATGCCCAGCAGGTAATTTCTCCATACACAGGACAGCATGAGGCTTGTCTTTCATACAGGAGTTCTTGGCACAGAACCTACCATCGATGTGGGAGATGGGAATGCTGACATCATCTGTGTCTTGCTTCCCCACAGTGGCCTGCACAGTGCTGGCTTCCTGAACAAACTCAGAAGCTTTGTCCGTGTATGAGGAAGGGCTCACCACCAGTGTCAGTACAATCTGAACATAAAAGAGGCAGGAGAAGACAGTCAAATGGTGACAAGTAAAGAGGAAAAAAGCCCAAAATGCCCTTGGTCAAAACTAAAGGAAAGAAGATGATGTTAAGTGCCCTTAATAATAATTTTTAAAGCTTTTTGTGTTTTACAATTTTAAAAGCATCTCTTCTAACCTACTGCTTTGAACTTGACTTTTTGGATAACCTTATTCCTTCATATATATATATATATATATATATATATATATATATATATATATATATATATATTGGCTTCAACAGACATTAAATAAACCTTAAGGATGTATTTTAGTTGCTGTTTGTTCAGTAATAGTAACAGGGCAAACCATAGGGATGGAATTTAGACCTTTGATAAGTCATCTCTGACTCTGAAAGGTACTGGTAATGTTAAATCCCTTTCATTTTTATTCTTTGTATCTCTGCTTCTGGTGTATGAATTTTAAGGTTTTCTATGGCATGTAATCTATTCATCATTGTTTCTCTGAGTGTTTGAATTTCCTGGACAATATAAACTCTTAAGGATTTCATTAAATTAGTCAGTTTCATGTTCTCACTCTCTTTTTTTTATATGATTCTGGAGATTTAATATTGTCATCCTTAGAGATTATCTGAATGGCATGTAGATTGCTTTTCCAAAACAATGTTCTGCCTGCTAGCTTGTCATTAGTCTCAGACATAAAACAAAATTTTTTCCGTTAATATTTCAATTTTATGTTCCACTTTTTGCATTCTGTTTATCTGATCATCAGCTATGGAACTAAATTTTTCTGTTAGCAGGCCAGTTGTATGTTTAATATTTTGCATTATTTGCAGAATCGCCATTGATTTTTTTAAATGTCATGAATCCTTTTTTTCTAAGCTCTCATTATTAGTCTGTAAAGTGTTTTCAGTGGTATGAATCCCTTTTCCTAAACAACATTACCAGTTTGTAAAAGGTTGTATGATTTCTATACGTTCCTCATTATTTGCTCTATTGTCAGACCATTTCTTTAAGGATATTATATGGATTATCAAGTTAATGGCCACCATGAATAATAAATATTTTCAACGTAGGTCATAAACCTATTCCAAAATTCCATCCATATTAGAAAATAAAAGGTTTTTTACCTTCTGTATGTTAATATTATCTGCCACTGCTGTGGGGTAGTTAATTGTACCTTAAGTAGATCCCTGGAACATGGAGATTTGAGAAATTATTGGCTCACATAGAACCTTGCAGCCTGGTGAGCAAATATGAGCAGAAAGCAAAACCACTGCAACTCAAAGCTTTGGGATACTTTCCAAAGATGCATGCCTGCAAATCCACACCACAGAAAGAGCCCAGCCAAGACAGGCCTCAGAAACTGAAAACTCAGTGGATGGAGCAATATATAAAAGCCATGGGCTTTTCAACCAGCCACATGGGGCAGTTGTGAGGACCCATGCTAGCAGGTTGGACGCCAAGTGAAGGTGAGTATGTAACTATTTCACTAGACCCAAGATAAATGATAAATGGGTGTTTATTGGAGAACAATTACACAGACAAATACAAAGAAATGTGGGAGTATTTCCCTGCTCTTCTTACCAGATCAATGAACCCACCATAAGGAGTGTGCCAAGCAAAGCCATGCCTCAAGCTTCCCTCTTTCTGCTTCCCTGTTGGGTGTGACCATTGTTACAAGTTCAGTGCAAGACTGCTACATAAGAGATTCTACTAAAATCAGGAACAAGACTCTCCATACTCTCTAAATCTATTTAATATAGTACTCAAAGTTCTAGCTGGAACAATAAGACAACAAAAGGATATCAAGAGGCTACAAACTAGAAAGGAAGAAGTCAAATATTCACTATTTGCTAGTGTACATAAGTGACCCCAAAAGATCTATAAAGCTGACTGATTATAATAATGTGGTACAATGCAAAATCAACTTATAAAAAACAATAGCCCTCCTATATACATATGATAAAAGGGGTGTGAAACACCTCAGAGTAACATCACCCTTTATAGTAGCCACAAACAACATAAAATATATTGGAGAAACTCTAACCAAAGAAGACAAAGACCTGAATAACCAGTACTTTAAGGCTTTTAATAAATAAATTATAGATTTTAAAAATGGAAAGATTTCCCATGCTCTTGGATAGGGAGGAAGTACATAATGAAAATGGCAATCTTAGCAAAACCAATCTACTGATACAATGCAATTCCCATTAAAATATCACCCCAATAATTCATAGAACCTGAAAGAGAAATACTCAACTTCATATGAAAAAAATTAAAAAACAAACAAACAAACAAACAAAAAAACAGAATAGCACATACAATCCTATACAAAGAACTTCCAGAGGCATCACAATTCCTGACTTCTAACTCTATGATGAAGCTATAATGATAAAAAAAAAACATGGTATTGGAATAAAATCAGATGGTTGGATCAATGGAAATGAATCAAAGACACTGACATTAATCCACACACCTGTGAACACCAGATTTTTGAAAAATGGTACAATGGAAAAGAGAAAACATCTTTAATAAATAGTGCTGGCATAACCGGATGAGAGAGAGAGAGAGAGAGAGAGAGAGAGAGAGAGAGAGAGAGAGAGAGAGAGAGAGAGTCATTAGGTAATTCTATATGTACATCAACCATACAAGCAGGCTGTCTTGTAGGCTCAGTCGAGCCAGGTTCTCCCTAAACCTGTGGTTGGCTTTCGTGCTCACACCCTGGTCTTGACTGTCAAATACACTGGATTCTCCACTACAAGTGAAGAAGTTTCTTCACAAGAATCCTTTCTTCAACTCTGTTCAGGAACTCCCACCCTACCTTGTAGTTTATGTCAAGCCCCAGCTTTTCTTCTTGAGCATTTCAGTTCTATCTCTCCACTGCAAGTGAGGCTGGAACTTCCTGAGTTGACTCTCCTGGCCCCTCTGAATGTCAAGCCTCAGATGCTTTTCTTTGTCTCAACTAAAGAATGTCACTCAACAGAGTCATCGCCATCCTCCTAATATTGTCTCTAGGAACTCACCTCCCAGAACAGCTTTCCATCATGTGTTCCCACTGGTTCACAATGGAGTCTTTAGAAACTTCAAAGCCTACCCCTAGGGACACACCTTCTCCAAAAGGCCATACTTCCTAAGCCTCCCACAAAAGTTTCACCAACTGGGTACCAAATAGCAAAAATGAACTTAAACACAAACTACTACACTTGCTTTTGTCATCTCTACACACCCAAATCTATCTATACACCTGCTCATTGAGTATGAACCTTGTCTAGTGAGCTTCAAAGAATTTCATCCATCAGAGCCATCCCCATGCTCCTTGTGCTACCTCTTCTCATGCATCTTCTGTTGTATCTTTTCCTGGTGAATTCAACAAGCACCAAGATCTTGTGTGCCATCTCTACTACTGTAAACCTGCCCCTGTAGTTACACAGGGCACACTGGATTTAGTTAATGATATAAAAAGCATTGCCTGTCAGAGCTGTCCCCACACTCCAAAGGCATAACTCTAGAAGCCCAGATATTGTACTGGTTTCCTTGGTAATAATAGCAGTAACTCTCCCACCCTGCCAGCACCATATGTATGCCCTGAATCTTAGCTCTGCTTACAGAGTTCCAGTACAGGGTTTCTAAGATGAGTTCTCCCATCATCAAGACTATACATTTGGTCCCCAAACTCCCAGGACTAGCTCCTGATGTGTGAAGATCATGCATTGAGTTTGCCTGGTTAGTTCCAAGAATATCACCTGCCTGTGTCATCCCTACACTCCCATGCCTGTTTGCAGGGATGCATTTCCTGAGATGGATTTCTATGTGTTCTCTAAAACCAAAGCATACCTGATGCATTGCCACACCCAAGACCCTGATCTGGGTGAACAGACGGCTCACTGTTTTTGTGATGAACTTCTTGAGAAGTTCTGAACCCAATACCAAGCTTGCAATCTCTGTCATAGCACTGGTTAAACAATTCATAGACTGAATTTCCCTTCAGAAAACTCCAGAACCAAGTCATCCTGTACCATTTGTAGATCCCAGATCAATGTCTGAAAATGCCCAGCGTATATAATCTACATGGTGAGGTCCAATGAACCTCAACTGCCAATGCTGTCTCTATTTCCAGAACTACCCTGATCACATGGATCCTACATAAGGTTTTCCTGGTTAGTGCTCCTTGGGTAGATTTGCCTAGATACAAGACTGCCTATCCATATTCCAAGCTCTAAAAGCACAGTGATCACATTTCTTTGCCTAACGATGTTCCATACAACCTCATCTGCTAGCACTATTTCCAATGAACCAAGTATGGCTTTGGTCATGCAGTTCTGGTTTGGTTTGCTTTTTTTTGAAACAGGGTTTCTCTGTGTAGCTTTGGATCCTGTCCTGGAACTAGCTCTGTAGAGCAGGCTGCACTCGAACTCACAGAGATCTGCCTGCCACGCCTCCTGAGTGTTGGGATTAAAGGCATGCATCACCAATGACTGTGGTCATGCAATTATGGAATTGGATTTTCCTGGAGTGTTCCCTCAGACTCAAGGTCATCTGTGCCATCTCCACATTTACAAGCTTGTGTCCAGATGTGAAATACAGCCACTAGTTTTGGTTCACGTGATCCCTATAACCTATCCAGAACCTGACTTGCCAGCACCACTCTAACCACTCACTCAGGAATAGTTCTAGGCAAGCAAATTCTGCATTGGTTGTTCCTGTCAAGTTCCACCATGAAAAATCTGCATGTGCCAAATAACTACTCCAAGACCTAGCTGTGGACAAGTGATACTTCTAAGAGCCATGCCTCATGGCACCAACAAAACTCATGGGACTAGTTCCAGTGTCTTACCACCTGGCTTGGATTTATGTCAATTCCTCCAGACCCAAGCTCATATGGACCACCCCTACAGTTCCAGTTCTCAATAAGTTCAAACAGTTCCTATATTTGCATTCATTGTCAGGTTACATCTCCTATATAGTCTGTACATTCTATACCCTATCTGTGCATCACACACTGGT